AATTTTTTATAGTTTAAGTTTTGGTTTAACATTGGCAATAATTACTGATTTAATAATTGCAATAGAACGTTTCTACTTTTAAAACTATTTTCAAGAAACAAAATATAATTAACTATTGAAAATGTTTACGATTTAAATAAAACTTTTTTCCTCACTTACACTATATTCTAAATCTGGTATTGTTACTGTATCTAGATCTACTCTAACTTCCAGTAATGATTCTAGCTATGCCACTGGATATTACAGACGCCGCTGCAATTAAGTTATGCTGCTGCAATTAAATTATTAAGTGTTAAAATTCTTTTAAATTTTTCAAATATATTTTTTTAATTTTAAATTTTAATTGCAAAATTATTTGAATAAGAAAATTTTAGAAACTAAAATTCTTTTGTTTAAATAGATTTCTTTTTAAAAAAAATTCCTAAAACAAGTTGCATATTTATAGAAAATGTTTAATCTAAGATATCACTTTAAATAAAATGAAAATATGAAAAAATTGTATAGTGTTTTTTATATTCTATTTGAGATTTCTTGTTATAATAATTTTTAGTTAGCTTATATTATGGGTAAACAACATATAAGATATAAATAGAAACATTTGTATGGCTAACTTTTGAAAGTATTTGAGTATATTAAGTAAATTTAATATTCTAGTAATTGTAAGTTACTATAGTAACTTAACTGGTTGTTTTGATTTAGTTTATAGGTAAATTTACTGCGATGTACTAATTCATTCAGTATATCAAACTAAATACAACTTTAAAATATTATTGACTTCCTTGCAAAGATTTAAAGTAATTTAAATTCAAAGTACTTTATGTTGAATAGAAATCTCCGCGCAAAAGAGAAATGATCATAATTCAAAAATAAATTTTGCTGTACGTACTTTATGATCCCTAATAAAAAACTTAGACAAAAACAATACTTTTAGGAATGGTCAAAATAATGCTAAATTAAAAAATAAAAAAATAAAAAAAAAGATCAAATGATCATAATTCAAAAGATAAATGTACTTTATGACCTAATAAAAACTAAAAAAACAAACAATACTTTAAAGAATGGCCAAGCAATAATGCTAAATTAGAAAGAAAAATAATAATAAAAAAAAAAACAATTTGCAAAAAATATTTTTTTCAAGAAAAAATTTATTGCAAAGATGTGAAAAGCAATTACGATATGCTTAATTCGAGCCCTGTTATGTATGTAGGATATTTTAATGATGAAATGTTAGTATATTTTACAGATAGAGTGCTTAATGTGCTTAAAGAACAGAGTAATAATAAATTAGTAAAAGCATTGAACACTTATCAAGCACTTTTTCTTCAGGAGGCTTTTTCTCTATCTGTAGGTTCAATGTGTATATAAAGATGCTCTTAAAAAAACATATTAAAAAATTTCCAGCTGAAATTTGAAACAAAAAAATGAAAAAAAGCTAAATGGAAATTGAAATATAATTTGGTTTAAACCAGCATACAGCAAAAATGTTTCAACAAACATAACAAAAATGTTTTTAAAATTAATAGACAAACATTTCCCTCCCTGTATTAATTGTGCAATCTTTTTAACAGAAATAAAAAGTAAGTTATGGCTGTACAAAAAGTATAGAAAGATTTATAAAAGACCACAATGTTGCATTATATATTGAAAATAAATTTCTTAAAGAAAAAAAAAATTTAAAATAAAAAAAATTTAATTACAAACAAAAAATTGATTGCCCTATGATTGGAAAATGCTTTTCAAAAATATTAACAAATTTTTTTCCTCTAAAAATAACCCTGATAAGAAATTAATAGGCTCATACAATCTTTTAAACATAAAAAATACTTAAAAATGATTATGCTGTCAAAATATATTTGGTAAAAGTATTAATTTTAAATTCAACTGGCATGTTTTAAAAACTACACCTGTCTTTGAAAAAGTGTATGCTATATTTACAAGAAAAAATTGAAATTATTACCTATTTAGATTAAGACAATTTACTAAAAAAAAATCTGAATTAATTTCTAAATTCAGACATGAAAATGAGTACTTTTTAAAAAAGTTGGAAAAAAAAATGACCAAAGTAAAACTATCATTATTTTTTTCACAATTAATTTTTTGTAAAGTAATGTAGCTAATTTATCAATTAGTTTGAAAATAGCTGTTTTGACAGAATCATAGTCACTGTCTGGGACTTTAAAAAAGTTAATTAGTTATTTAGTCAGACTTTTTCCCTTTTTGGCCTTGGTGAATCATTTATCTCATTAAAGTTATGGCTTTAACATTAAACATTGCTAAAAATGGATTGTACATTTAAGGAATTATACTGCTAATGTACAATCTATTGTCTATCAGCAATAGATTGTTTATTAGAAGGACAATTCCTGTCATTTCAGTTGTTTATAAACTCTTTCCATTTTTTAAAGTATAAAAGAAAATTGTCAAGCCATTCAAAATGTCATGAACAGGTTTTAGATTTTCTTTTAAAATTTTAATAGCTTTATTTTCACTCAAAACACATTTTTAAAAATTTATCCATCATGAGACAAAATTCTTTTAAAATTTTGCTGTTTCTTTTATGTTTCTCTGAATATGGTGTTAAATTAATATGATCACTTGCGAGATTATTTACTAAATTTAAGCCAGGTTCTAAGTCCTCATTATAAAGTTATGAAACATGACCCAAAAGTATGGCCAGACCATTATTCCACATTATAAAAAGTAGATTGTCTAGAAACAGACTTTAAAAGACTGTTACAAGCTGTTTTAATCAAGCGTAGAGCACTAAAAACAAATATATGCAACATTTTTTATTGGAATAAGTAAAAATAGCTCTGTAAACTAAATCATTACATAAATTCATATTTAAGTTCTTATGCATTCTAAAGAATCATTCTGTTTGCAAAAGCACAATCAGCTGTAGAAATAACCTTTATATTCAAAATTTTAAGGTAATACACAGCTTTTTAAAAATTAGACATTAGCTAAACTTTTGCAACTACTTCCAGTAGTTGCAAAAGTTGCAACTAATTGATAAATGATTAAAAATGCTCTTTACAAGAAACAGAAGAATTAGAGTAGTTAATTCTTTAACATAACAAAGTGAAAGTATTTGTTTCTTTATTGTCTAAATTAACAAAACCAATAAGCTCTCTTAAATATATTTGTCTCAAACTAAATCTACTTGGATATTTAATTTACCAAAAAATAATTAAAAAATTTTGCCATGAGAAAGAATTTTTTTTTTTTTTAATAGTTTTACTTAAAACAGTCAGATTAAATTCCCTAGGGAGCCAGATGTAATTTTTGTAATCCCTTAAAGTTCTTAAACTTTAAAGAATTAAAATGCCTACACCTGTCTGTGAATCACATTGCAAATTGGTATAAGCAGATGGTAGTTTAGCAGCAAGATTTAGACTATTTTATTATTATAGTATCGGAAAGAATGGAGTAACTCAAATTTTTGAATAAAATATTTTTGCTGCTATTTCAAAAAAAACAACTTCATTAAAGGATGTTTTTTTGATCACTGATTAAATCAAGATAAACTTTTTACTAAGTTTTGAATAAATTTTATTACTATATATATCAAAAACAGATTTCATTATATCTATTTCCTCTTTGTATTGTTTGCATCGAAGTTTGCCTTGCTTCAAAGCCGGTTTAACTCGACTAAGGGAAGTTTCAAAAATAGGCGCATTTAATTTTTAATAAATGTTTTTTAGAGTTCAGACCTTGTGAGAAAGGGTTAGGTGTAGTGCATTTCACATATGCAAAGAGCAACTTTGCATGCAAAGAGCAACTTTTAATGAAGTAATTATTGCTGATTTTAATTGAGTAGGTAAAATTTATACAACTTTTATACAACAAAACAACATTTAGAGATGATCTTTTATATTTCAAATATAATTTATGTGTTTCAGGTAACATCCATTCATACACATGAGTAGTAAAATATAATGAATCTTCAACAAAAATTTCAAATTTCGAAATGACTGTTTCTAATAACTTAAATGAAAAACAGTAAAATTAGAGTAACTCGAACCACCAAGGGACAAAGTTAAATGGTTCAACTAAATGCATTTTCAATTTAGGTGAAGTAAAACAAATGCCCTTAAGGGACTTTAAAAAACGGTTCAAGATAACAAAAGTTTGAGTTACCGTGTAATTGACATACCGGGATTTTACTGTATAACACAAATTGTTAAAAATTTAATCTTCCATAACTTACCTATATAAATATAAAAAACTATATAAACTATATAAATAAAAGTTTTTTGAAGTTTTTATAACGATAAGCAAAGTTTCTATAATGATGAGCAATGTTTCTATAATGATAAAGCTATGTGAAAGAAGAACTCTCAAGAGGTATTTGCCTTCTTGCTTAAATATTGACATTGAGGATCAAGAAACAGCAGTTAAAGCTGATAATTCTGAGCTTTTTCTTTGTAAATTTAGTGAAGTTAGTTACCGCATCTTTCAACTTTTTTTTGTTAAAAGTAAAACTTGCTTAAGTTTTTTATTTTCAAAATTTTTTATTTTCTTTCTGAGAATATCCTCAACAACTTTTTATGACTACGGTTGAACTAAGTATAGTTTAACTAAAAAATTGAAGTTTTCTTTCTTTTATTTTTATTTTTTTTAAAAAACTATAAAACTCTAGCAAATCATAGAACACAAATGAATCATAAGAAATATTCTTTGCATATTTATAATTTATATAGTTTATTTTTTGTTCTAATCATATGTATCAATTTTTACTTAAAAGATGCTCTATTATATTTGTTTTAAAACACCTGATTTTGTAAAGACCTGAAATTCATCACACACGTCACGCATTTTTGGTTGATTTTAAACAATTTATAAATAGAAAAGTTTTTTTAAAACAATTTTTCTCAAAACAATTTTTGACTATTTAGTTATGATTTATATACAACAATAGAAAAAATCATTAATGAAAAGTTAAAATTTTTTTTATATTTTTCATCTTCAATGCTAAAGAAGTCATTTTTTTTTTTCAGTCTTTGCTTACATATGGTGCAGGATTTTACAGTAATATGGGCAACTACAAATCATTTGGAGACACAAAAATTGTTCCAGCAATAACCAAGGTCAGAACTTTTTATTTCAATCCTAAATATATATTAAATATCTAAAATAATGTTTAATATGCTTTTTCCAATTTCATTTCTTTTTTCAGATCTTGTTTTAGTTTTTAAAAAGCTAGTTGCATTAAAAAGCAATATATATTAGGGTAAATTAATTTTACTACTGCATATTGCATAATGTTGCAGTAGTTATGGAAAATAAAACATAATTGAAATAGAATATGTTTGAGAGATTTTCACTTGGATATTTAGTTTTGAAGTTTTTTTGATAAGTGATATATATATATATATATATATATATATATATATATATATATATATATATATATATATATATATATATATATATACACACACACATAAACAACCCTCGGAATTAGGGTCGGCATTCGGCAATGCCGACCTAACTGCCGACCTGAAAGTGTTTGAGGTTTCGATTTTTAACGTATTGCAACCATTCCAGTTGAATTTTCCTTGGCAAATTTTGGAATGTTCAGCTACAGCTGAATTTTCCCCTTTACCTTGTTGTGCACTTGTTTGATGCTGGCATATCCAAGACGATGTCTTTAGTCCAGTTTCACCAACATAACATTTGCCACAAGAGCACTTTAATTTGTAAACATCGGGAAAATAATTAACTGGTAGTGTAGGTTTATTTTTGGAACTTAGTAGACTTTGGATATTTTTTGGAGACTTAAACACTGGTGCGTATCCTGCTTTTTTAAAAGCTCTTCTTAACTTAGGACTGATTCCAAGGATCCAGGATCCATGTTTTTTTTATTTTTTTATTATAACGGTTTTTATATACTTGATAACGAGGGTATCCATATTCCCTCGAAATATCGTAAAAAATAAATATAATTTTTGCAAATAGAAATCAATCCATAAAAAGAAGTTTTATTTTAAAATATTTATACAAATAAAATCTATTGAAGATGTCAACATTTAAAATATATATATATATATATATATATATATATATATATATATATATATATATATATATATATATATATATATATATATATATATAATTATTATTATAATTTTTTTAATCATTAATTTTATAAAAGTACATTCATTAATCAAAACTAGTTAAAGAAAAAAGACTAGTTAAACTAAAGAACCTTCTCAGTCCAGTATTATAGTTTAGCTAACTTAATTTCTTTTTCTTCAAACTTAAACGCCACAAATGAGTTTTTTTTTTATCTAGAAGTTGCATATCACCAACTCTATATAAAAAACTAAAAGTTTTGTTCATACAAGATAAAGTAAAGTTTTTCACTTTTTGTTTTCTTTTTGTCACATTTGACAATTATTTGTTTTGAATTTAGGATAAGTTTCAGGAAATTATTTATGCAAGTGAAGCTTTTAAAAAGTTTCCTTCTTTAATGGAGTCTTTGTGGTGTAAAGTTTCTAATCAAATGTATTGTTTGGAAAAAAGGCATCAAGAACTGGGACTTGGCGAAAAGGTATTTATTTTTATATTACTAACAAGAAACACTTTTTTTTTTATTAGTTAATTTGATAATATAGTAAATAACCATCCTATGGTTCTGAATTGTAATCACTTTCATTGCTTTCCTTCTACATCATTGTTTGTTTTTAGAATGCTATCAATAATAATGGCATCTTCTCGCAGCTCTCTTGTTTTTAATTGTTCATCCATTTTTTACAAAGTAACAAGGAATTACTGCATCTGCCTTTAATTCTTTTAATCTTTTGTACTTTTTAATGTTAATTTACCTTTCCAAGGTCGAGAAGGCCACCTCAGTCAAGGAGGCTACTTTAATTGTGGTTACAACCCCCTCGCAACTCTATAACTCCAAAACATAAACCTTGTCAAACAAGACTTCTGCGTGGAGAAACAAAATAATCCTCTTTTTAATATTTATTATATTATAGTCATATTATGTTATATTCTATAACTTATTCTTATATTGCATTCAGTTTAGTAGAATTATATGTTTTATATACTCATATTTTTTGTATTAGGCTGATGGTTCAGTTTTTTTAAAGATTATTTTGATATTTTAATGGTTCAGTTTTTTTAAAGATTGTTTTGATATTTGATATATACAAAATGAAAATCTATAAAAAAGTTGTTGTTACTAAAGTATTCTTTTATTGCAAATTTCTATTTGTTAAAATCAGACTAGTTTGTTAAAATCAGATAAAATATGTTTTCCAAGTTTTAAACAGAGTTGTAGAATTGTAAAAATATTTAGTAATAATCTATTTTAGGGTGTATCAACATACTATTCAAGCAATGTTACTGATAAAGATGTTTCATTTGTTCAAGACTTTATGATAGAAAAAGTAAGGGTTTTATGTTTTTTTACACAATATTATAATAATTTATATAATTGAATGGATTAATAATGATATTTTTGTAGCTAAATTTTCTTATAATTTAATCTGAGCTTTTAAATTATTTTTAATTTTTTTTTGTTATTCACAGAAATTAGTGTATGCAAATCATTATAATTGAAGTTTAAGTCAAACATTACAATTCTTTTGTCTTATGTATCATGAGGGTGTTCACGATTGTGCTTAGTATGTCAGTTTTCTTCTGCCAAATTTTGGTAATGTTATTAAATGAGCAGAAAACATATTTTCATGTGGAGTTTTATGTATGTTTTTTGCTCAAAAATATCCATAATTAGGTTCAAAAGAAATTTTTTTTTTTTTTACTTTAAAATTTTCATAACACTGTTAAGAAAGTTTTTCTAAATTCAAAAAAAAGATTTTTTATTTTGAAAAAGTTCCATAATTTTTAAAGAAAATATTATTGAAAGTTTTCCTTCATAATTAATTTCATAATTGAGCTATAGAAATTTTTGAGCAAAAAAAAAAAAGTTCAAGAAAAAGTTTATTTGTGTTTTGAACTTTTTTTTAAGGTTTAAACTTTTCATAAAATATAATGTCAGTTTTTATGTTTATTTTAAATTCAAAGAATGTTGTTTGTTTTGTAAAGTTTTGAATGGTTTGTTAGATCTGTCTATCTGTGCAAAAACAGGTGGAAATATTACAAAGAAAAATTTAGCTCACAGCTATTGTTTATGCTTTATACTTTAAAAAGATATATATATATATATATATATATATATATATATATATATATATATATATATATATATATATATATATATATCGATGGTTAAGAGCACAAAGGGAATATGTCCACTAACCATTGTTTTGAGAAATCTGAATTTGAAAGTTTGAAAACATACAATAATTTATGATATTTATTGTCATGATTTTTGACCTAATGCATTCCTCAATTAATTCTGTCTTGTTTTTTACTATTTTATTTTCATTTTATTGTTTTTTACTATTTTATTTTTTACTATTTTATTTACATACTTTAATACCTAATTTGTTTAATGTTTACCTAATGTTTAATGTTGGACATTCCCTTTTTGCTCTTAACCATCGATATATATATATATATATATATATATATATATATATATATATATATATATATATATATATATTTATATATATATATATATATATATATATATATATATATATATATATTTATATATATATATATATATATATATATATATATTTATATATATATATATATATATATATATATATATATATATATATTAGTTATTTCATATATTAATTTCAATTTTGAAATAAATTAATTTCTCATTGTCTTAAGCAAAATTTTATTCATTTATGATACAGCAAATCTTTTTCAGAAAAAAATTCAAAAATTTATAACTAAAATAAATGTATATAATATAAATAAATCAAAAATTTATAATTAAGGAAAATAAGGAAAAAACTGAATAAGAAAAAAAACTAAAAACCCAATAAAAAAGAAAAATAATGAAAGTATGTAAATAAAAGAAGACGAAGAAAGAAAAAAAACTAATATATTATATAAAAATAATTAAACTATATTTGTTAAATAAGGAAGATTCTTTGTTGTATTGTGTTATTGTTTGTTGTTATTATTCCTGTCTTGTTTCTTTCTTTTTTTTTTTTTTTTTTTGCGTTCTGTTGTGTCGTAATGTAATTTTTATTTTTTTTTATTTTAGTTTGTGCATATATATTTTATATATTATACGAAATGATTCTTATTTTAATACTATTTTATCATGTGATAAAACAGTATTAGTGATATGTTTTTAATTTACCTTTTTTCTTTCTTTCTCACGGCTTCTTTCATTTCAATATTGTTCATTCATTATTAACAATTTATACTTTTTGTTGCTTTTTTGTGTTCTGTTTTCGTTTGTTACGTATTTTTTTGTACCTGATGTTGAGGTTTTATAACGGTCATAATATTATTGCTTGATTTCAATCTTAATTATTATTATAATCGTTTTTGTTATTTTTATTATTATTATTATTTTCTATTATATTACTGTTATTGTTATGTAAACTCTATCATTGTTATTATATTGTGTTATTACATATTTTTTTATTACATATTACTTTAACTCTATTATTAAGATTATTAGGTGTATTTTATTTTTTCATAGTTGTTTTTTTTATATAATTTTAATTTATGTTTTGTATTATTTAATAATATTGTTGTTGTTGATTTTATTTTTTGTTTATTTTATTTAGGTGTCACTCCTTTGACTAGTTTTTAACTGTGAGTGACACCTAACCTGATTTGTAAAATTTAATTAAATTTGTAATTTTAAAAAATTTGCTTAAACAAATAAATGAATGTAACCCTACTTGACATTCCGTTTATTTTATTTTGCAAATAACAAATAGGAATTTGCCCATTTTTACATGTTGTTAGGTAGATATTACTTTAAACTATAAAAAACAGAGTTTTTAAAACATATTTATGTGTCAGACAGCTTTGTCTTTGTCAACATTTTAAAGTTTGTATTTAGAAATGATTATATTTAAAAACTAAAAATGAATTCATTTCTAAATAAGAATTTGGGTGTTTTCAAATCACAAAAATTGATTTTTCAAAACAAATAAAAATTTTGAATAAATCAGTTAAACCTAATTTGTTTTTACCAAATAAACTTTTTGGTTATAAATAGGTAGCTTATTTGACAATTTTTAATTTTTTTATTCAAAAAATCTATTTGTAAAAGTTTTAGTATATGATGCCATAGTTTTATTTATTTGTATAATTTTTCACTAATTCTGAAAAAAATATTTGTAGTACAATTAAAAAATATATATATATTTGATTTTTAGATTTTATTGGCGCAGCTTGTTTTTAACAATCGGCAGATAATTTTTAAATTTTTTATGTATTTGTTTTGTTTTTTAAAATAAGGGTTACTTGTTGATTGTATGATTTTTATACAAGTATTATAGAATGTTATATTTACTTTTTATAGAGTGTTAAATTAAAGGTGATAAAAGTCCTCCTATTTTGTGAGAGAGCTAAATAAAGTTAAGATTTTTATATTGAACTCCAACATAAAGAGAAGATCTTGCTTGCCTTATAATATATTCTGAATCTTTTTTATTTTTATTTAAACAAAGAGAATTTATTTTTCTGATTTATATAGGCTGTTTATTGCTATAAGTTTTTTTTCTCCTATTAATAAACCCTAAGCCTTAATAAGATTTTTAAATTTTTACTTGGTGTATTTTTACTTAACTTGTGGTGTATTTTTTCTTGACTTTTATTACAAATTCAGTAGTTCAGTTTTAAATCTCGAGCAAAAATCTTTCGATTTTTGTTCGAAGTTTAGAACTATGTTTAAAACTGTGTATTTTATCAAAAAATGATACTATGTGAAAAAATCTTTATTAAAAAAGAATTCATGATTGTTAAAAAAAATATGTATTGACAAAGTGCAAAAAGCAGTTGTGAATTACAATGGTTATATGTTTAAGTTGAGCTCTGTTCTTGGAATAGTAACAACATTAAAATGTTAAATTGAGTTTAAAATGAGTTTTACACTTGTAAAACATTTATTTTAAGTATTTATTGCAAATAGAATTAAAAAAACATTAAATAAACACTGTTATAAAACTGACCAATGTTGTGTTTTTTAAATACTATTGTCACAATATGTTCAAGTTATTTATCCACCACAATAAGAATACAGTTGTTCCTTTAAGCTTGTATTTATCTTTTATTTAGTATATGATTCTTTGTTTTGTAGGGTATTAGTCCATATAACACTCGTTTGTTTAAACATGAAAGTGATCAAGGAGTTAAGTATGAGTTGCGACTAGCTTCAGCTGCAAGTAGTGGTAAGGGAATCATTTAAAAACCTATTTTCAATAAGAAATTTTCTAAAGAGATCTGCGAATAATATAATAAATTATAATTTTTTTTATTTGAATGAGAATAAAAGTTTGCTGTAATTTTTTTTACTTACTGTTATGAAAGCATGCTGACGTTATATATAAATTTTTTTACTTACTGTTATGAAAGCATGCTGACGTTATATATAAAATTTTTTTACTTACTGTTATGAAAGCATGCTGATGTTATATATAAATTTTTTTACTTACTGTTATGAAAGCATGCTGGCGTTATATATAAATTTTTTTACTTTCTGTTATAAAAGCATGCTGACGTTATGAAAGCATGCTGACGTTATATATAAATTTGGTTTTATACATAACTGTTATGAAGGCATTGACAAGTATAAGTTTTGTGTTATATGTAGCAAACTGTTCTGGAGGCCTTCATACCAGCAACATTTTTTTTTTAACATCTTTGCTCTAACAAGGCTGCAAGCAACCACTATTAGAGTTGGAAGTTCCTGGAAGAGAAAAGATGAAATTTATAGAGCAAGATAATGATTGACAGATGACTTAAACTGATTTAATATATGATTACCAAGAAAGATCAGAAGTAAGAGTTAATCCTAGAAGATAAAGGAAAGATGACTTATCAAGTACATTACCGTTCATAAATATAGGAAGATCTAAATTATTCCGATAATGATTGGCTGAAAAAAAAATGGGTTTATCAGAATTAAAGTTCAAGAGCCACTGTGAGCTTCATGCTGTAGCAGAAGTGAGATCCTTTTCAAGCTCAAATGCCCCCTTAAAGTAATCAGAGAGTGTTGGTTTCTTATCAAGACAAGAATAAATGGTAGTATTATCAGCAAACAATGCCAAATTCTACAAATGTAAATGCTCAGGTCAAACATGTGACTGTTGGAGTCTTTATGAATTAAAAGAAGATAACCATTAACACTAAGATCACAAGATGAGACTTCTGAACTTAAATTAGTTTCACAAAGAGCAAGTAGGTCTGGTGAACTTTGCAAGAGATAAGACTCAACAGAAGAAAAATTACTTCAAAGACTACGAATATTAGTGAATAATATATTAATAGAATTGGGTGATGACGATGGTTTTTTGTGTTTTATAGTTTTTTGTACTTTAGTCATTTTTAAATTTATTAAAGAACTTGACTCAAAGCTTAAATATTACTCAGTACACTATTTAATAGCCTAAGCAATGGCCTCATTACTATTAATAAATCCTAAGCCTTAACAAAGGGCTCCAAATCTGGCCTCGACAATGCACACCAAAAGTATGAACAGGTACACCATCCATGTGCAACATGGTATTGTTAGTACTTTGATATTTTACATCTGTTGATGGAATCAGCCTCTCTGAGAGCTACCACAGAGTTCAGGAAACCTGACTACCAGCCAGCCTCAGAAACATAAAACTGAGTTTTACCCTCATTAGGAGATAATAGAATGAGTTGCCTAGTCATAAAAACAGAGACACAAGCGAAACCTATGCATTGAGTCAAGAAGATCCAACATTCAACATCCTAAACTGAAAACAATGTATTATAAATACATCTGCACCAGCCTAATAGATGCAGAAAGGGTGTGAGGCTGGTCAATAGATAGAATCTGTTTACCTAGTTTTTGCCTTCTACAAGACAATTGCCGAATGCATTTATCATCTGCCCAAAATTAGTATTTTTAATGAGACACCATCTCCAGCCTTTACTCAACCAAGAGCCACAAGGCAGGGGGTGTTTTAAGTCGGAGTTGGCTTCTCCTAGCCTTTGCCTAAAAAACCCTATCCTACAAGGCAGCAGGACATGAAGCAGGTTGTACTAGGTTACATCTTAACAGTAGCAGGATAACCTGTCCTGGCTATAATTATAAATTGATATTATACTTACCTAACTGTTTATAAAGTCTTTAAACTGACAAAAAAATGTTTCTTGAATTGTCAATTTTCTGACAACATTTTATTTACACAGTCAAAGAAAACTTTAAACTACAAGTTTTTCAGAGCAATTCAAGATCTCTTTGAAAACTGTAATTTTATTTATCACCACATACTTGTCCCCACACATACAGCTATCTAAAAGCTGGATTTAAAAAAAAAAAAAAAAACTCTAGAGACCACTGTCTTCTTATTTGCTTTTTTCTACAAGTAAGAACATTGAGATGACCTTTGATGTACAGCATTTTTCTTCTTTTTTAGTAACCTTAGAGGTACTACAAGTTCCATCTTAGGTTCAAAATAACCTGAATTTTGATTGATCTTTCTGATGATCTTACCACTTATTAGGTTTATTTACTGATTACCCAGGTCAACAAAGTATGTTAAGTACATTTTTAAGTTAATATTCCACTTTTGGTAGTAACTGATACCAACATTTTTGTCAAGTAAATTTTTTTGTATTCTTGAGGCAAGAAGCTCTGATTTTTTTTAGTCAGTGGTAGGTCTCTAACAAGTTCATTAAATTGTCCTTGAGTTAACTGTTTTGGCTCAAAATTTCTATCTTTTAATGCAATCAGGATTTACAGAAGATTTGGGAACACTACTAGTTGTACCTTCATCACTATCCACTTCATCTTCAATAGAATCTATATCATTGCCTGGAGGAATTGGAATGGGCAATTCTTCACAATGTTTCACTGGGTTATGCTCTGAATCCATTACTGGATAAGCAACAATGTGTTTGTACTTTACAGAAAACCCTGTCATGTTGGCACAACAAAAATAACAATCTGCATGATGATTTCTCAGCTACCTATATCATAGGTATGGCAAACGGTATCGAAGATTTTTTTTTGTTCATTTAACCATGTAATCAGTTTGAATATGCAGAACAGATTTGATGTGATGTCTATTGCTTATCTTGGTCACCTAGGTGGCAACCAAAATAAACCTGTGTGTTTGCAAATGCTTTTATCTTAAAAACTGTAAATAATACTACAATTATTTTTATAGGACAATAATGAGATATGTGTTTTAGCTTATTTTTCTTATATTATTTTAGTATAAAACTTCACATAAAGTTTAAACTAAAATCTATCCGAAAAAATCAAGTTAAACTAGCATAAATACAAAAAAAAAAGTTAAACTAGCTTATATACAAATATGAATGATTATTAAAGTATTTTTACCAAATTATAACATTAAAAAATAAACAGAAAGCTGTATAATAAAATAATTTACTTGAAAAAAAAAAGCATGCTACAAACAAATCTGATTACGGTTTTGAAGAGTCAAATATTGTATCCAGGTTACCCAAAATTATCTCTTGTGGAAATTCTTTGTTGACCTGTATCATCTAACTAGTTGCTTTATTTTCTTATGATCTAACTACGTATTCCAATTTTAATTCAAACTCTTTAATCATTTAAAACAGGTAATTAATCATAAATATGATCTCTGTGATTGTCTAGGGCTCAAATCAAAGTTAATTATTTTTTTCCACTCGTTATTGCAACAATCAAGTTACTTCTATTCTCTAAGTAAATCTCTAAAGTGCTTTTAGTCTCTATAAAACAAGTATGTCTGAATCCTATATTTAAATTTAGTCTTATATTATTGAGTATTATGATACTAGCAGTAAAAGACCTGTATAACAGGTTATGTGAGCTAGGTATGTAAGTAAGTTAACTGTTTAAGTTAAACCTCTGGTAGTTTTCTGTAAAGAAAGTGAATCCATAGAATAAATAAAGTAAGTTCATATATGTGAAGTTCTATTTGTGAGGACTGATAATAATAGGTTTATGTAAATCTCTTATTTGGTTTTTAAACAGTTTAATACAGACTTAATACTATATATACTCTAAGGTAAGTTGTAAATATTATATAAATTACAAGATAAATTCTAAATATTATATAAATTATATAGTAAATTATAAATTATAATTAGGTAAAAATTGTTAAAAGTAGTAATTACTAGGGGTGCACCAATGCATCGGCATCGGCCTGCTGATGCATCAACCATTTAGCCAATGCATTGGCATCTGCATCGTCCTTGATAACCATCGGCCGATGCTGATTGTTTTGAAAACCTTTTAGAATTTATTTTTGATTTTGTGTTCCTATATTATATCCCAACATAGAATTACACCATAAACATAAATGCAATGTATAAATCTAACTTATTAATAATAAGTTATTATATAGGCATATATGCAACCGCTAAACCATAAAAATCTTGAGTGCTTTTAACAGGGCTCTCTACTTTTAGAGTTTTCTTATAATTTAGTACATTAATTATATAACTTATGGATCCAAAACTCTAAAAAGATGTTTAAAATCAAGAAATGCACATTTAAGAAATATAAACATAAAGTATAACATATTTAAAACATAATAGACTAACTTGCATCATGTTAAAAATAAATATAAATTTTTATTATGTTATGAAAAGTAATAAAATATGTTATATAAAACTGAGTCTATTTTTTTATTTTCATTTCTCTATAAAAATTTCCAATTTGCATGCACAAACTTTTTACTTTTGTTGATTTTATTAATTCAGTGTCAAGAGGTGCTTTTGAAACTTGATAAAAATTGTATATGTTTTCTGCCATTTTTAATTTTTTGAGCTAGGTTTTTGGATTGATTCAGATGAAGTGTTTGTTTCATTATCTGATTGAGTTATGTTTTCGGTAGTTAAAAAGCAATCATATTATCAGTTTTACTTAAGTATTTCTCTCGAATATTTGATTTTATTGTGTCTTTCTCCTCATCTGATAAGACATAACTAAGTTTGAATCTTGGATCTAAAAATGTAGACATTTTCAAGTTTTTGTTATATTTATAGCTGAAAAACCTTGAGATAAAATCTTTTTTCAAGTCTTCTACAAGTTTTTATTTCACCTGCATTTTGATCTGTACACATATCATTTCTCCAATAAGCCTAGTTATTTTTGGAACTTTTTGTTCACTTGAAGTCCATTTCCTATACTTATTAATAGTTTCCTCAAGCTTAGATTGATGTTTTTGATCTAGAATAA